CCATGTGTGACGGCTGAGCGCTGTCCAAGGTCCTGATCGGAAAAGGACGCTGTATAGGCGCTAATTTGAGAGGGCTGTTGCTTGGCGCTGTCCATGGTGCTGTTCCCTAGTGACGCCCGTACGTGTGGATTGTCGTGAAAATTAAAGCTCAAACAACATCATTGTCATATTGTACGTTTGAAATTGCCCCTGAAATTAACCTCAAAGTAAAGTTTATATAATCACGTATCATTATTACTGCCTTCGATGGTGGAAACTTTTTTTTTTTAAATTCATTTTTCAACTTTTTTATTGTCGGACTGCAAATTCAATTCATTTTGCTCTCTGTGTGTGCCTGTGTGTGTCTGTGTGTGTGTGTGTGTGTTATCAGTGACAGAGGATTTGTCCCTATTTGCTCAGTGCTAAGGTCAAAACTGGCTGCTTAGCAACCAAAGGCTTGAAGCTTCTGGAGTGCACGCCTTTCACGGCGCCTCAGTTTTTACTTATTATTTGAAGAGAGTAGACAATGAAAAGGTTTTGGTGGCTGTCACTTCTTCTATGTCCCTACTGTGTCAGGGTCTCACATTGAAGTCAGGGAGGGCGTAATGAGGTCTGTCATGAAAGATTCACAATAGTCCCCGTGGACCCGGGCCTGCTGCCGTTGCTGTGGAAACACCTTCAGACCACTTAATCTGCTCCATCAGGACAGACCACGGAATACCAAGTTGCCGACTGTTCACAGTCGACTTCAGAGCGGTACAGTGTGCACAAGCACCACGTTCTAATGGATTAGTCGAGAGTGCCTTAAACCTTACTTTGAATCCTTGTGTAATAATAGGAATAATACTCACTGGTCATTTCAGTGTCTTTCAAACCAGGCTGCGGTTGATTAATATTTAACATTTTATCCTCGTGTCTGTGAGATTAAAGATCATACAGATGTTGAGTCTGCCTTCAGGGAAATGGAATTAGATTTTTTTCTTTTCATATTTCTTTCAATTTTCTCTTTCTGCAGGTCATCTTTTCTTTTCTTTCCTATGAAATTATTTACACTGACATCCTCACCCCACTAGAAATTCCACTCATTCTGCCTTTTGCTGTAGACGGTGGCTTTGGTTCTGAGCTGAAAAAAATCAAAGGAATGTGTGTTTGTCCAGCTCTAGCTCGTCGTAGATTTGTTCTGATTTGACCTTGAAAATCCAGGACTGTGTGTGTGTGCATTTGTGTGAACCAAATTGAAAAACTGTGGGGAAGTATTATAAAAAAAAATAATAATTTTTTAAGAGAAGTCTGTCGTATAATTCCACTTTAGAGATAAACTCTCCATCAGAAGGTTACACGCTGGGTTACAAGAAATTATAGTTTTGAACTAATGGCTTCATTTAACGAGCTAATCTGGCACGTCAAAGATTTATTGTCGAAAATTATTAGTAATTAGCGCCGTTACAGTGACTGACAGAGGAGCAGCACGGCGGAGCCAAAAGCCACTGGAGTGAACGACAAAAGAAAGTGTCAACACGACTGTTTGACTCCACCTTAAAATGGTGCCTCCTTAAAAGGATTGCCGTGACCTGCTGCTCCTGACAAACTCTCCTTCATCTGATCCACTCTGACTGTAAAGATTCCATCAGCGTCACCGCTCCACGCTCAGCAAACAGGCTTTGACCTGCTTATATGTTCCATCAGAAATAACTCTCAGGTCAAATGAGTCACTTGGATTTGAATCTCTGACTCTGTAGCTTTTAGTGTCACTTGGATTTGAATCTCTGACTCTGAGGCTTTTAGTTCGAAGCACTAGATATATTTATATATATAAAAGAAATTTGAATTATTACTAGTGTAAAAATGTATTTTCCACCACCTGTGACGGCGTACATCCTTTTACTACAACAGTTAAATATAATCACAGTGTTGTTGCACATCATTTTCAGTAGTCAGTCTGAAAAAAGGACTGAGAAAAATAATGACAAACGTGTTGTTTATCCCGTTGCAGTGTTAGTTATTTCTTTGCAAATTTAACAAATGAACAAAGTTAATTTTACACCATTTGAAAACATCTGATTCAAACCGTCCACAGTTGTTTCCCGTGTCAACTTCACACACCGTCTCAGCAAATATTTATTTACTCAGCGCTGTTTCATTGTGTAGTTCAGAGAACACTGCAACTAACACCACAGTTTTTGCTGGTTCATTTTGCTTTTTAGTATATTAGTATATGAGTTAGTGAAAAATAATATCTGTTCTTGTAATTCTTATAGTTCCTATAATATCTGTTTGGCAGTTTGTTGTGCAGCTGCACGTGCTGCTTCAGGCTCAGGGCTCAGTGAGGGAACAGTCTCCTCCTCTAGCTAATCTGACCCCCGCTGAACGGGGTAGAAACCTCATCCTTCCACTTACCTGAAAATCCCCACATTCTCTACCCCTTAAAGCCTGCAGTAAAACTTTAGAGGTACCAAACCTTGCTTTTTTATTTCCAAATTTAAAAGTGTATTCTCATCATCTGCCCTCGTTCTTCAAACCCCTGTTTCAGGGAGAGAACTTCTGCAGATATTCTCCGGCGTCCTGTGTAAAAACATTAGTCTGGGATTCTTCCCCTCGGTGAGATTACAGATCTCACTGTCGTCTGACTCTGACAGTCAAATATTCCTCCTCAGTCGGATCTCACCGTTACGTCGCCCACACTGAATCAAAGGTAGAAAATGCAGAGAGGCAGAATTACTCTGCCAAGGTTTTCCACTAACGTCTCGGTGGATTTCTGAGCAGCAGTGTGACTAATGTGAAGCAAATAGGAAAATCCTTGCTTAGTTAAAGTGAAGTAGGACTTTGAGCAGATTAGTTAACGGCTGTGAAAACTGAGAACAGGTCTGAGAGACCGAGGATTGTGTATTCTAAAGCTGCAGTTTTAAAAATATCTTTTTAAAAGAATGTTGTCGTTTTTTTCTTTTAAAGATTCATCCAGCGATGGATCAAACAGCTGCTGAAACCTGGAGGACACGAGGAATAAAAAACATACTCTTAAAGTTTAAGCTGCTCTATGATCCTGTATGAAGTGTTAAAAAATCTGTGAAATCACCGTGCAGCGTAAGAAGAGCTAACGAATAGGGATTTAACGATGCATCGTGAATCGGTTAAAATTAGCTACAAATGCATAACCATTCGCTTTGATTTGAAATAAAAAAATTAAACGCGCATCAAGGCTTAAGGAGTAAAGTCACTGGTCATACCATGACACTACACACGTTTGTACAATAGGTGGCGGTACACACCTAAAATATTAGTTGTTAAACGCTATGAAACCAGAACATTAAAAATCGAGCTAAACTCATATCATGAACATAAAATCGTGAATCATCGTGTCGTTACATTCCATCACAGTGATGATGATTTAAATTCACGGTCTTTACCAGAATGTGGCCGATACGTATTTCACATAACTTTCTAAATAAATCTCTACGAGGTTTTGAAAAAAAAACAAAAAACTTTTTGGAACAGACTGAAGGACGAAAAGGAAAACATTGACACTGAACAAACTCAGTTCCATCCAAGGTTCCACCATCCAACAACACAGGATGAATTCTTCCAGAACCTTGAGCTGATTTTTCTCTGAGCTGGACAGTCGAGAATCAGACCTTCACATGGTCTGCAGATGTGTCCCATGGTTTATCTCTGTAATATTATCATAAAGTCTCTCGCTCTGATTTCACACAAAGGAAAAAAAAGTCAACTTTTTTTTGTTGTAAAGTCTTTTTCCTGTAAACTTTGAAGGTTTAATAATGAAGGATTGATCTCCTGGCCTCGTCTCGGTGTCAGGACGAGGCTGGTATCAGTATAACACAGTGGCGTTCTTCAGGTTCTGATCTTTACATTGACTCTTTAACAACGGTCCAGGTGAAAAGGCCGCTGTCTGTTCTGAAAGTCAGACAACAGTTCTCCAGAGCGGAGTCTGTTCTAACAGCGGCTCATTATCATAATCTTAATAAATGGCACCGCACGCCCTTTGATGGACGGCGTTGGGTCGTTTTATTCAGTCATAAAGTTCACATTAACCCATTAAAGCCTGACTCCAGACTAACGATTTCTGCTTCTACAGTGACTACAGTTCGGCAGTGAGACGATGGTTCTGCAGCCCGTGTCTACGTCGATAGTTCGTTTTAATAGTAAACTCATCCCGTACCATCTGTTACAGGATGATTTTATTTTATTTACCTGCTCATCATAAGTAGCGAGTCAGTTATATTTGCTTTTAAAATATATAATTAGCATTTATAAAATAAAAAAAAAATACTGCTCACGGCATTTTTTTTAAAATATATAATTAGCATTTATAAAAAAAAAAAAATTACTGCTCACGGCTTTTTTTTTTTGGTCAGAAATGATCCTGTGATTTGTTTTTGGTCTAAATTTGGACCCGATTTTTCATCTTAACCTTCTCCTGCCGCAGCTCTGTGCGTGTGCTAACAGTGGATTAGCCTAGCGCTGGTTTCAACCACTGTGTTATTTTCCTCCATTAGAAGCAAACTGTAGTAAAGAACGTGGGTCTCGTCGAGTGGCGGCAGCTGTGACATTTCAATCCATCAAACCTACAACACGTCCAACGTTTATGTTCAAGTGAAAACGCTGTTATTTTGAAGTAATGAATGTCGTGATATTTCCGCTGCGTCGTTGACACATCGATTGCTACATTGTGAGTCAACTTTAAACTATAATGATACATTTCTTGTTGTTTTCATACTCTTCATATTATAGAGTCAAACTCTTTGCTGATGATGGTCTTTACTGTCTGCTCCGGTCCTGTGTGTGTTTTCATGGTCTTCCCTCCGCTCTCAGGTTTTCACCCGGGTCAGAATAAACACACAGCCATTCTGTGCTTATGGGTAAACAACTGGGCTGCTCCTTTCCTTTGCTTTCCTTTTCCTTTCATGTTTAGCAGCAGTGACTGGAGGAGTGGACCTCATTGAATTCCTAAATTGTTCTAAATTGCTTCTCTGTCTTTTTCTCCCTCTCTCTTTTCATCACTTCAGGCCGTGGAAACCAATCTGGCGTCCAAGGACAGCCACTGGGTCTACGCCAACGAGGTGAGTCCAGACACAAACACGCGTCACCTGAGTGAATACCAACCTTTCTGTCAACTTTAACCCCCCTCCCCTACCCTCCCCGTCACATGGTCTTCTCAGCTGCCAGGCTGCGTGTGTGTGTGTGTGTATGTGTGTTCCCATCCAATCACATTAGCAGCACAGCATCTTTTTATGTATTCATCCTCGCTGCCAGAGGGACTGCACCTCTATTAGGTGTTGTGTAATTGTCCTGTCTTTAGCTGCTGATGTGTCCCCCACCACTCACCCCTCACCCCTCGGCCCTCGGCCCTCGGCCCTGGCGCTCCGTGTGTCTGACATTGACCTAAATGGTCTCCTAAAGTGGCTGCAACATCACAAAACTCAGGATGCACTCTGTGAATACAGAGGAGCGCAGCCCGTCTCCGGCCTCGGTGCCTCCGTGCTGCATTTCAATTGACTCAAAGTGATTTGGAGACTGGATTGGTCCAAAACTAAAAGCACAGGCTGAGAGATAATAGATAAAACGCTGCTCCCTCTTGATTTATCTTAAATATGAACGCTGCTGTAGCTAATGGCGTTCTCTCTCTCTCCAACACACACACACACACACACACATCAATGCCCATGTTTTGTAATGAAAAATCACTTCTCCACTTACAAGAACATCTAAACTTGTGTTCCTCAAACAAAGCATGACAACATATTGATCCACGGCCCACAGAGGATGATAAACGGGTATGTGTGTTTCCCAGGTGATGTTTAGGGATGTGGTTAAAAAAAAAAGAAAAACAGACTTTGCTTCTGTTTGGGCCAAATTAGCCTTTGGTTCAAACGTTGTAAACATGCGTTGGCCACAGGGAGCGTTAGACTGGAGAGATAATAAAAAACCCATTTCAGGGGAAAGTTGATAAAAAATACTTAAAGTGCAATAAAAAAACAAAAACACACAAGCCTGTAATTTGAAAATACACTTCAACCTTTATTTGTTTTGCCAAAGCACAAAAACAAGTATTTACACACAGCGTTAAAATCTTTTAACCAAATCAACAGGGTTAGAAACAAAGATGAGTTGTTTTTTTCTCTCTATTTTTTATATTTTAAGAAATTATTGTAACATCTGTTAACTGATAATTCTTTTTCTATATATGTTTCAATGTGGACGAAATGTTAACGTAGACTTTTTTTTAGCAATAAAATCTTTATATATTTGTTTATTTCTACATATTTATGTGTATATATAAATACATATATTTAAAAAATTACTAAATAAATTTTACCAAATAAATAAAATAAACAAACAGACACTAATGATGAAGCCCTAGCTGTATTTCTTTTTTAAATTTTTTATCACATTTTACGATCACAGTGAGTCATGTCATGCAGCAGTGTAAAAAGTTTAAAGTTGATTTAGGTCCAAACCTGGCAGCAGGCCAGACCCGCTCTACATCTTTCATCCTAAAAAAAAAAAGTGAGAAGAGGTTTTATGTAATAAAGTCAGGAAACCAGGTCCAAACTGAAGTGAAGTGGCTGCAGCTCTGTCACTTAAAAACTGCCGCCGGAGCCAAAAACAATGTCATAAAACTGTCATAAACAAGTGATCCACCACACGGTGACCAGGAACCTTGAGCTGAGCAGCGGAAACTTTTCCCTCCCCAAACTTTTCCTTACGTTGTATATTTTAGTTTTATATTCTGTGGCATTAAAAACAAGGGAGTGTTTGTTTGAGTGGCTCGACGATCGCACGCCTTCAGGCCATGAGAGGTACTACACTACGCAAAATAAAAAAATATATATAAATAAAAATACATTTTTATTTAAGACAAAATAGCAGATTTGACCTGCAGATTGTGCAGCAGGTCTGAGTCCTAGTCCATGTCAAGGAGACATGTCTCTTCTGCACCGGAGGGGTATCTGTGGGGCATCATAGACTCAGATGGATCATGGACCCAGAGAGGATTTGTTTTGGTTCAGGTTTTTTTTTTCATCATCTGGAGGGTGGTGACAACCTCAGAATGCCTGGTGGATAAGGAGGTCGGGGGGGGGGGGGAGGGGGGGTACTGACTGACAGGAGTGAGGGCGGGGGCAGTGGTGATAGAGAAGTGATCTGTGCTGCTGATGCTTCTCCAAACACACAGAGATTTTATGGAGAAAAAGAATAAGGCGTTAATTAACGTTCTATGATAATAATAATATAATAAAGCTTTTTTTCCTGTGGTGTCGTTAAAAATAGTCCAGTTAATTAGAACAGAGACTGTCGTCAAGGCCGTCTGTGGAGCCGTGACCCCTGACGAACAGACCAGTTCAAACTGGATCGTCTTCTTTTTTTATTAGTGGCTTTGTAATTAATTAATCACATTTTTTATCCAAGTTTTTTTTTCTATTTAAAGAACTGTTGACTGAACCAGCTGAAGTTAGTGAACTTTTTTTCATCAGTCGACCACAGTCACAGCTGTAATTGTAACAACAGTCGACGTTTGAAGACTGTTGTTTGGTTCTGTGTTATAGTTTGAGTTTCCTCAGAATCATTTCCTGTTTCAGTTCTCTGAACGTTCTCCCACCTGAGATCTTGATCACTTGTCAGACATAATGTTCCAACCCCTGAACGGTGACCACGGGAGACCACCACTGTCACGCTCATAAATCAGCAGGACTGCAGACAGATGGCGCTCCTCACTAACCGCCTCATCTGCATTTTACACTCTGTCAATTAGAACCATCACGTTTTGGTTTGTCTTGGTTTTTTTTATATACATACAAATAATTCATTGTCACATTAATGTAACTTCCATCAGTGACTGTCGAACAGCTGCACGTTTGAACTTTGTTACTGTAAGTTCTGAAACACTGGTCTGATGGTAACGAAGTTTGATTGTGATTAAAAACTAATGGTGAAACATCAGACATGAATTCATTCCCAATAAAGACTTAAACATCGTTTAATGACGGAGATGAAATGGTCACTCCTCTAATGACATCATGTCCACCGTTTATTCATGATTAGCGTCAGTTGCTACACAAACACCGAGGACTGATTCATAAATTAGAGTTTAATTTAAACACCTCCACCTGCCACAGTTTGATTCAACAAATCAGTTTTTACAGCCAGACCTCGAAGGCCGCGTTCATAAAATCACAAATGATGACTGAATTTTTCATCATTAGCGTAGCATAAACAACATTAGCAACAACAACAACAACAACGGCATGGACTCAAATATGGAGAAGTGACTGACAGACTGAAATGTTCCCTGTTTGTCTGGATGTTTTTTGTTAGTGAGTTTAATTCATTAGTCGGTTCCTTAAATGTTTTAATATTTTTACATGTTATTTTTACAGTTTTTTTTATTATTATTATTAATAGGAGTGGAATGAAAAGCAGTAGTTTGCTGGTTCAACCCTGAAAAACCAGACGTGAGTGAGAGGTCATTACCGACACATACTTCCACTGCTGTGTACTAATGAGTACTACTCTAAGTTTCCAGGTCGACTGCAGTAGAGAATTCTTGTTCTGACTCTTTTTTTTTTTTTCCAACACTGTTGAACTTAAACATGTTAAAGTTCATCCATGTCGTCACCTCGGTCCTGAGTTGCGTGACAGAAGTCTGTGACTGGGTGTCAGTTATTATCGTGGACATCAGCGTTTGCCCTGTGATGCAGCATAATTCATGTGATGAATGCGTGGCAGCAGCTAATGAATAACCATCGGTTCCAGCTGACTGACTGTGAGGAGTCAGGAGAACAGCCGCAGGAGGAAACTGGACCAGGTGCCGCTGCCTGAGCACAATCTCCTATTGTTGTTGTTTACAAACAAACAAACTGGCTTTTAATATTTGGCAACAGGAAATAATGTCTGTCATATTTGAACCCTTTGTCGTTACAGTTGAGGAACTTTGCTAATTTTCAATGACAATGAAATCATAAATAAAAACAGAGGAATGCGGAGACACCGACAGACAGACATTAGCCACTGCAGCTTAATGTGTCTGTGGGGGACCAGTGAGACAGACATTAACAACCCAGAGGTCAATACACAGGTCAGAGGTCAAGATAGCTGATAAAGAAAACCATTTGTTGCCATAGATTCACGGGGATAATGAAAACTTATATCAAGCCAGTCCTGTCCGGGTTCTGACCCCATGGCAGTCTATTGGCTCGGCTGATAAAACATGAGGCGGCGGTTTCCCAGGAGACTCGGCGTCTGCTTCGGTATTGACCGGCGTCCTGCCCCGGAGACCAGAGAGCAGCTTCACCCACTCATGAATATTGATCTGCACCATAACAGGGTAAATCTGCGACAACCATTGGATAAGGCCAAAGGTCACCAGTGTTATTATTGTAAAGGATGTCCATTGATTGGTCAGTACATGAGGTGAAGGACCAGAGAATAATTCCTGTCTGATAAACTGTGCCACAGACCAGAGTCTGAGAGTGAAAGGATTTACAGAAATCTGTCAGTGGACTTTGAAGTATCAAACACCACCAAGTGTTTTATTGAAACTGAAGTTCACCGTCACCTTCACCATCACGGAGAATTAGATGATCTGACACATCATGTTATTGATCACTGTGGGGCATTAGAGAGAGGCGTATGGAGGTAGAATGAAAACTAAATGTTTGCAGCAGTTACTGTAGGTTAAATATACAATAGAAACATTAAAGCAAACTACGGCCCGTGGGCCAGATACTGGCGAAACGATACATATCACAGTTCAGGGGCAACTATACGATATACTGCGATAATATAGTCACCACGATATATTGATATCAAAGATATCAAATGTGCCAGATTCAACGTATAGTTAACTCACGACAGACTTTTTTTTTTTAATTTTTTTTTTTTTAACTTTTCTCTTCCTTTCGTTTCACCTGTTTAACCTCAGTTCTCCTCACACATTCTCTCCTCCATGTTTTGTCTCTTGTGATTTCTCGGAGCAGAAAAGTTAATTTAGTTTTCATTTTATTAACCATCTCCTGTCATCTCGACTCCAGGAGGTGAGTGACCCCGACATCATGGAGCTGGTTCACAGCTCTCTGGGCAGGATGACCATCATCCGCCAGATCTTCCCGCTGTGGAGAGACACCAACGTCCGCTGCATGAGGAACAACCACCGCATCTCCTCGCTGCTGTGTGACCCTCAGGAAGGATACCTGCAGTCGCTGGAGGTAAGTTGTCTAGAGGCTGTGGTCAAAATAAACACAAACTGTTAGCCACACCACTGACAGACAAATGATTGTCGTGATTCCTGTCGGGTCGGAATGTTTCCATAATGTCCAAAGTGAGACATCAGGGGAACGTTGACAGGTGTCTGCCCAGTGGCTCGTGAATGTAAATATTAATGCATTCAGCTGATGGTGGATTAAACTCCGACGGTGAAGTCATCGTAGAGAACGACGAAGGACGTTCTTTACTCAAGGATGAAAAGAGTAAAAATGGAATCAAGTTTTCACAGAAACACTGAGTACAAACACTATGAATATGATGTTATTCATATACACATACTCTGAATCTGCTGCCTTTGATACTTAGTTTTTTATTATCACCTTTTTTTTTGTTGTTGCTCTTTTTCTCACTTAATTGACAAGAACTTTTTTTTTTTCCTGAGTCTCTTGAAGAAAATTCTGGTTTTCCTTTTTTGACTATTTACACTGTGGAAACCTGAAATGTACTGTGGGGGGGGGTGGAGGTATGGTGGTGGGGGGGCAGGCTCAGGCTTTTTAAACACATACAGGATCAAGGTCAATTGTTAAATCTAAGCTGACTATCGTGAATGCAGCATGAATGGATGTGGGTGGTTCTGTGGGTGGCCGTGGAACTGTCCGTGGTGCTGCTGGGAGTGGCTCCACCTTCATGTCCACAGGAATAAACGGTTTTAATTATTGAATTACTTTCAGAAGTCATATTTTCATGATGTCTGATTCTTAGTGGATGACCGGAGGCTAACGAAGAAAAACCATGACCTGAACAGACCAGCGTCACCGATGACCGAGTCTTCCTCTCACAGTGTCCGCGTCTCCACCGTCTCTTTCACTTTGATCTGACTTCACCGCTGAAAAACAGCTCCACCCACTCCAACCTGCAGGGACCCTTTGTCTATTAGTCACCCATCTCCTCCCCCTCACTCACCCACCCACCTCTATTCCAACTCACTTCACTTGACTTCTCTTCCTCTCCTCCTCCTTCTCTCCTCTGCCTCGTCACAGACCTCCACCCCTGCAGGTTCTCTCCCTCCCCCTCCCTCCTCTCTGAAGCACTATATAAATACAGATCATTGATTATTTTCCTGGGCTTATGGGGTTTTTTTTTTTTTTTTGCTCGAACTATTTGCGGTGTAATTGTGTTTCCCATAGTTCTATTCATTCTTATGCCTTCTCTGGACAGATGGCAAAGCCATGTGGTGCATTTACACACTCACTCACTCACACACACACACACTCAACACAATTCAATAATTCACACCAAGTAGGGTTAAATATTGGTTACTGCAGTTCAGGCGTTCATCAGAGAAGTTGGTTTATGAAGATGAAACCTCCTGCAGGTCATGCATCTCCTGTAACTACTTCCTGTAACAAGGGTTGCTGCGACCTCAGCTCACCTCAGCTCGGTTTCTGAGACCCTCCAGGAGAGTAAATATGAGCTGTCTCGGCTCAGAGGGGGTTGAGATGAATGCAGGCTGGAATAAAAGCCTGCTGTGGCAGCTGCTATTGCTTTCATAGATCTTCTCTTGGGGGAGGATTTTACTTGACTTGACCCAGAGAATCTATTGAATGCACTGTCACTCCGACACAAAGGGAAGTAGACATTATTTCTGACAGGCTGCGCTGCAGTTGACTGGTATCAGCCAGGCTGCTGACAGCGTTGAGTGTCACTAACAGAAAGATGATTGAACCAGGAATAATTCTTGTTTTGGCTCTAATTCCAGTCCACACCACGTTCCTCTGTAATTGTCTGTTCTAATTACAGTCTTTGGTCTTTCTGTCATTAAACAAACTGTATCGTCACTCCGCGCCGGCATCGATTTCTGATGTAAACATGGCACACGGAGCAAAGTTGACGCTTTTATGTCAATTCTCTGACTGATCTCGTTGACAACAGGCGACCGCGAGACTGACAGGAAGGGGGAGGGGCCGGGAGTAGGGTTTTTTTTCTGATGTTTTTGACTGTTCTTCAAAAAACATATACATTTTTTTATATCAGATTCTTATTATTCACCTTAAAACCCAGAGGAGGGCGCTGTATGCAGGGGTCTGTTTGTGTTGTTTGGTATCTGAAGGTCTGACTTTCTCCCCAGGTCTCCAACCTCTACCTGTACGACAGCGTTCTGATGCTCGCCAACGCCTTCTACAGGAAACTGGAGGACAGGAAGTGGCACAGCATGGCCAGTCTCAACTGCATGAGGAAGTCCACCAAACCATGGAACGGTGGCTGGTCCATGCTGGACACCATACAGAAGGTACTGCTACAGTCTGACTCGACTTCCTCTCACGGCCAAGGTTCTTCCAGGTCCAAGAACTCCCAGAGAACAGACCATAATAATTTCTGTTTTTTTCTCTCAGGGTCGTATCAGTGGACTGACCGGACAGATGGACTTCCGAGCTGAAGGCTCTAACTCTCATGTTCAGTTTGAGATTCTGGGAACCAGTTACAGTGAGACGTTTGGGAAAGACGTGAAAAGGGTGAGAGAAGTTTTGAATTTCTGGACTTTTTCTATTTCTTTTTTTCACCTTCACACCGTAACATTTCATATTTCAGGGGAATGAAGCCCCACCTTGAACAAACAGCACCCCAGAATCTTTACTTTACTTCACGTTCTAAAATACATCCCATACAGAACAGAGTACAGACCTCAAATATATTTACTTCATTATTTCAGTCTCAAAGTTCAGAGATTTCCCAGCCGATATAATCAAGTCACTGAAGACAGAAATAAAGAACACAGAACATACGGTCAGACACAGACGCTGCCCCCTACAGCTCGTAAAGTTGTATTTCTCACGGACTCCGCAGATTCACATTTGGAGTTTTGTCGCACACATATTTCACAGAGGCTTGTTTTATTTCTGAATTTTAATAGCTGCTGTGAATGTGCATTATATTTCTACCAGCAGGACTCCAACATTTATCTGGGACATCTCTGCAGAAGTCCATTAAATATGGTTTTGTTGTTTTTGCTATGGTTATGTAAGCGTCCGTCCAGCAGGTGGCCAGGGAACAGTGGCCGCTGTGAAAACGCTGATGAAAATAGCTGCACCATTGTCTCAGTGAGACCACTCACTGCGAGGGCAACAAAATTAAGTCAGGGGGTGAAAAGAAACCTTCTCCTCCTGGTGTTCTCTGTAATGAATCTGACCAATCACAGGCCTGATGACCGATGACCTGCAGGTTTTGGAGTTTTTCTTTTTCTGTATGTACGGTGAGGTAAATGCAGTAGCAGGGAGGACCATTTCCACTGCGGTGTTTTTTTTTTTTTTTGGAGCAGACGTTGCTCAGGGACCTCAGACTGTCTGTCTGTGTAAACTCTGAATCCAAAAAACACTTTTGTTAAAAGCAAATCCATTTATCCCTTTGGTGGCTTAGAAAAATGGTTGTTATCTAATCCACCTGGTCCACAAGGTCCACATGGTCATGGGGTTTATGGTTGCAGGTGTCAGTGACGATTCTGCCCTCTACTGGTAATTCAGGTTTTTAGCCCTTTTTCAGCAGTTTTTCCACCTGCTCTACTGAAACATATTTGATTTTTTCTCACTGTATAATAATAATAATAATAATACAGTGAGTTTGACTTTGACATTATTGTGCACGTGTTCTTCGAGCCGTCATTTGTTTGTTGCTGTGAACGCCAGTGCGTCCTGATTCAGTCAACGACCAGTTGCGGAATGAAGAAAGATTGAGTTTCCCGGCAATCTATGTAGAGCAGCACTGACCAGAGGCACTAATGAAGATTTAATCACCACTTAGTCCAACTGAAATCATGGAACCCATTCATCATGACGTGAACATTATCATTAGACTGAGGAGAAGATGGACACTCACACGTGTGTGTGTGTTGATCTGTAAATATGGACGAGTGAACCGTGTTGAATTAAAAACATAATCACAGCCACAAATAATAATAATAATAATAATTTCAACATTTGAAGACCTCCAGAATGAAAATGTGTTTCGTTAGCTTTGGGGATAGGTATTGTTAGCGTCAATGCTAATGGCTGTTGTGTGAAGGCTCCAGCATAGAAACAACATTATTGCACTGTGGTTTGTCTGTGGTTTGGACAACTGACCAATCACATGTATGTAGATCATCATGTTTTCTCTGTGGAACCAGAACCTGGATCACAGAGTCTGCCGTCAGAGAGAGTCACTGGGGCTCTGTTCTGATGATCTGTAGATCATTAGAGAAGAGGGGGGGGGGAGCGCAGGGGGCAGAGAGGTCAGATAATGGGGTCAGGAACACGTCTGTGCTGTGGTTCATTATCTGTTCTGTGTCAGCTCACAGAACCATTTAGAAGAAAAGACAAAAACACAGCAGTTTGTCAGCCTCATACCTGCGTTCCTCCACCAGAACGTACGCGAGGCGCGTTCTCCGCACAGAACACGTGTGTTCCTTCAGGAGACGACGACCATCACGAGCCGACCTCCGCAGTATTATGGAACTGTGTGTTTTATTCTCTCAGCGCGGCGGTCGAGTGATTACCCAAACTGCTCCACCCCGTGACCCACATCCATCCTCATGTTCCTCGATAACTGCTCCACCCCGTGACCCACATCCACCACTCACAGCCATCCTCATGTTCCTCGATTCCCCCTCTTTTCCTCTCACCCCATCATGCTCCCCTCCTTCCTTCCTTCCCCCTTTCCTCTTCATTTCTCAGCTGTGGTTTCCTCCCGCTCCATCATCGTTTATCTGCATCCAGTCCATTTTCTCCTCGGCCTGATGGCTCTCAGATGAGGGTGTCTTTCTGCTTAGAAACTGTAATGAAGACTGAAATACTATTTCCTGGTTGGCTACTGTGAGTTTTCTCCGCCGTCCTGCGCTGCTGCAGAGTGATCGATGTTGCTGTTGTTGTTTTGGTTTCCCACTTTGGTCTTATTGATGTGTCAGCCCGGATCGGAGCAGATATTTCTAATGACTTTCAGCTTGCACACAGCTCTTCATGGGGAAAAGTCAATTCATTTCAGCCTAATTGTTGCCGTAGCCCGAGATTTCACGCAGCCATCATCTCCAAAGCCGTCACATTATTTGCATCAGCGTATTTTATTCTAAGGAACGTTCACTCTTTTTTGTTCCAGTCGACCACCTCCCCTCAGACGGAGCAGTTTACAAACGTCGTCTCCTGCCTGAAAAAGAAAAACCTAAAAAATATATTCTATTTAATTCTCTATTTTAAAGGCTTTCTGTTAATTTTCTAAAATCTTTAGCTCAGTATATTTTACTGTATTGTAACCTACATCCTCGAGGTGTCGACCCTGATGAGAACTAGTTTCTACATATTCTATTTAATTCTCTATTTTAAAGACTTTGCTGTTAATTTTTCTAATCTTTATCTCAGTATATTTTACAGTATTGTAACCTACATCCTCGAGGCGTCGGCCCTGATGAGAACTAGTTTCTATTTTGTACCTCATCGTCTTCCTCTTCCTGTTCTTTGTTTTATTCCAGTTTCAAGATAAAGTAAAAAAAAAAATCATTAGTTCATTAGTGGGTTTGATGAGCTGAACACGGAAGAACCGGTGGGTTCTAATCGTCCTCACTTTCATTCGCTGGAACAGAAACAAACCCTTCACTTTTTTTCTTTCTTTCCATCTCTTGTACAAAACACTTGTTTTTCTGAATCGTGACAATTTAGTCTGAAACAGACGGAGGACGGAGCTCAGCTCGGCCGGCTGTCCGTCCGCTGACACAGATGTTCTAACAGACGAAGTAGAAGAAGAAGAGCTCATTTCACAGTATTTTTTGTTTGGTTTCTGTTCAGTGGAAAAGTAAAGTGTCCTCGTCTCGTCCCTGTTTCCCTTGTTTCAGACTTTTTCTTTTCTCATCAACTCCTCATCCTGACTGTTTTGCGAGGACTTCCCAGCGTCTGTCCAGGTCCATCCAGTTTGCCTGTTGCAGGTTGATGTATGGAAAAACCAACCTGATTTATTTTGTTTATTTTTTAACTCAAAGTTCAATCCACTGCAGTTGTTGTTTTTTTTTCCTGCGGGGGCGGAGCTGTACTAAAGTCTTAGACGTTTCTAAAGCCGTGGCTTAGATTCCATTGATGTATCTGTCTGGGAATCAAAGATAACACTGGTGGTTTCCAGCCGTATGTTCTCTGAGGCCGATAAACAAACACAACAACAGTGAGGAATTATGGATCTCCATCCGTGTCCATGTTTTATGGCTGCATTTGTACAACAGAGATATTTTATCGACCACAATCAGACGTATTGTTTTTTAGTATTGTAACTATTGTATCTGAGCTGGGAAATGGACTGACCTTAAATTCAATTTTATATTTTTATTTTATGAGAACAACTTCAGATGAATTCTGATCCTGGAGGTCCGCACCAGGCTTTACAGAACACCCTCCCCAACCCGTTCCCCCTCCATTCACAGACACATGCAGAGACTCACTGCTCAATACACCAGTGGTCAATAAGACAGAAAGTTAGAATGCCACACACGGCACTCAGTGAGCTGAGGGGCTCACACAAAGACTTTGTCACAAACAGCTTGTCAGTGCGGTTACTGTGGCAGACGCGGCGGCCGGGGTCAATAAGAATCCGGGCGGCGTGATTGGCCCGTCGATATCAAATCACCTGATGAACAGAAGCAGGAAAATGACAGCGAGAGAAGAAGAAGAATCAGAACGCTCTGAACTTTGGTTCCTCTTCCATATTGATGGTTTTGCAGTGATTCTATGAAGAAAACACGGCTCCTGTCTGCCGTTGGTGAGAAATGGTGTAATTGAGACGTTTATGGCTCCATGAATCTGAGGCGATTTCTCCTCCATTCCTTTGTCATTTTCACACAGTAATTGGCATTTACTCAGGCCCATTACAGGTGATTATTTTGGGGAGGATTGTGCATCATTACCATTAGCTGGAATTGCTGCTTTGCTGTTTGTGTGAGTGTGAGGCTGGTGATGGCAGAGTCACATGGGCACAGATGGAGATGTGAGAAGATGGAGGTTAATGTTCTGACGTAGTACTGTACTACACTGGTGCACAGGAAGTAAACCCTGGTCAAAAAACTATTTTGTTTTACGCTAATAAAACAATGCATTTGTTGATCTTGATAATTTGAAAGCAAAAAAGTGGAAATATTTGGATGTCATATAAAAGTATCATGTAGTTAGTTTGTGTTGTATCTCAGGCGGTGTACAAGTGAGTACTGCCCTCGCCTTACAGCAGGAAGGTCAGATCCCGGCTGCCCTCGCCTTACAGCAGGAAGGTCATGGTTCGATCCCGTGTTGAAACTAAACTCTCTGTTCTCTTCAGAACATAATCACAGTTGGTTATTCACCCTGAGTGAACCTTGGTGTGAATGTTAGTGTGAACAGTTGTCGGTGATACATTGGTGAATTATGTGACCCTCTAACCCTCGACTCACCCCCCCTCAAAACCACCATGTGGTCGTTCATGAACAGGTGTTCTCTGGTGTTGGTTTGTGTTCTTCACCCTGGTTCCACCGACGTTCTGTGAAGGAACACTAGTTCTTTGTTACTCTTCAGCTCACACGGCAGACACTCTTCAGGTTTCTTTCTCAGGAAACAAAGCTACTGATGGAGAAAACACATGCACCCACTGCTGTCGTCCCGTCCGCCCACACACACACACACACACACACATTCAGACACAGCGTTTGTGTGAACTTTGCATAACAGTAATGTGTTTTCTCACCTTAATCTTTACTCTCCTGGGAACCTGCAAAATGTCCCCACGGCAGTTTTCTCAAAAACGTGTCCCCACAAGTATAGAAATACACCAGGTATACACACACACACACACAGGCTTATAAACACAGAAACAGACACTGCTGCACACACAGCCATACAAAGATGAAGTATGAGTGCTATTACAATTAGGTTGTACTGTACTCCTCTATACACTACTGTACTCATTACTGCAGTTTTACTGCCACCATCCATCTCAGTTTACATTATTCTCAGGTGCAGAAATAGCTTCACTGCTCACTACACAAAGACCAGTAAATGCACAATGTGCAACTCTACATCTCCATACACTGACAGGTCACAGAGCTGAGATCAAAGGCCTGAGGAGGCGCACAAACACACACACACACACACACACTGGCAGGTTATAAAGACAATTTACTCGCCCTCTGAAAAAAAAAAAAAAAACAAAGCTGTGCACATCACTGTGTAACTTCCTATTCCTGGAGGACCGTGTTCTCACCAGCGGTTCTTTGTGTTTCTTACACGGTTTCTTTTTCTGTGGCGTCTGTGTTGATTCAAAGACTTTCATTTCAAAGTCACACTGGTAACAAAGTGGTCTGCTGCTAATGATGGAGTTGTTTGTTTGTTTTTTCCAACCGTTGTCTCTCATCCTCCCAGATTGGTGCCAAACAGATCACAGAGAATCACTGAGTTTTAGAGAAAAAAAAAAGAAAAAAAAAAAGGTCAGCGCTCTCGTTTTGTCTGCCAGGAACCTGACTGTGAGACCGTTCAAGTCAAACTGTCACAGGTGCTTCAATATTGCATGGATACAGTGTTGAAAGTTAAGAGCTGCTTGACTTGAGATGAAAAAGACAGAACTAAAAGAAAAAAAGAAAAGAAAAAAGGGTTTGATGGTTTCCCTCCTTTCTCCTCATGAATCAGACATCGTCGTGTTCTTTAAGAGCTTCTTCTCACTGATGACAGTGACTCCGATCGGCTCAGGATTAGACTTTAAAATGGAAGCTGCTCCTCTGACTCCTGTGATTCACAGTGAGAAGTCGCGTCATTATCCCTGCAGTATGAATCTAGCCTTTAACACTAGGGGTGTAAGAAAATACCAATACACTGAAGTATTATTTTCAGTCTATTGAGTGTATTATTATATATTTTGTTTCACGTATCAACATCCTCCATCAGTGTTTTGATTTTTTTTCTCACCAATTCCCAGTCCAATATTCCTGGTGTTGGTTCATTTTCTTTTTCTTTTCTTTCTTCTCTAGTGATTCCAAATGTAGATCCCTCTGTTCCAGTGTTAGGAACTGATGTTCAGATGGAACAGAGTCTGAGACTAGGATCACACTCTGACTACAGTTACAAAAGTGAAAAAAAAATCCTCAATATATCATTGATGACTATAGTATCACAATATATCGCATCGTTGCCCCTGCATCTCGATCCGTATCGTGTCGTCAGATCATCGCCAACGCAGCCTTGTGTTGAAAACTGCTGCCTCCATGTGGTCCAGGTCCTGAGACCAGACACAGACACTTGGTTTGTGTCGGTGAAGCCGTGCCAGGATCTCTGAATCACCGTGTGACTTCTGTCTCAGTTTTATGTTCATTAAGCGTCACTGGTGGTCTTAGATCAGTGGTTAGGTGAACCTTGACCTCCAATAAACCGTGGAGTGTGTCTGCAGTCAGAGCACACTGTAAATCCTGACCACGGCCGAGCCCAAAATGTAAATTTGACTTTGATTTACGGCGGCGCGGTGGCAGAGTGGACCGTTTGTTACCTTGTATTTCAGCCACTGTACCGGAAACAATGATTTTTTTATTTTTTTATTTTTTTAAAATATGATCAGAATTAATGACAGTTACCCAGAATTACAGCGGCGTTCACACCTCTGTGTCTCTGCGGGACTCTCCTTTATCTTCACTCATTTATCTTCTGTGTGTTTTTTTCTTTTTCTTTTAATAGCTGGCCTCCTGGGACTCCACTCGTGGTTTGAATGGTAGCCTGAAGGAGAACCGGATTGAGAGCGGGATGCATGGAGTGATGCTGAAGATTGTAACAGTGCTGGTAAGTGGTGGGAGGACACGGACTCTATTAGGAGTCGACCTGTGAAGGCAAATAACAGTGTGAGAAAAGCAACAGCAGTCAGCAGAGAAACACCTCAACCAGTTATAGCTTGGGGTTTGTACATGTATAAATTAGACACACCCCCCACCCCCCACCCCCCACCCTCCCTGTTAACAACAGCTCCTTATAGAAATATTACAGTCTTAGCACTTTGTAACATCAAACATGTGTTAATGCCTGTTGAAAAGACAACATTTATAGTTTCAGCTGAAGTGAAATAAAGTATTCTGTTACACATAGACGATGTCAAAATGATTCAAGAAAATGTTGAAGAATGTCAAGTTACTGTTTATCATAAATACAAACATATATTACATTTACATTTATTATTTGTATATTCACAAATTGTAAAATTCTGGGGCTGTGTATTGGCAAGAATCTGGCGATACAATACGTATCACGATACAATGTATTGCGATATATTGTGATGACGTATCACGATACAATGTATTGCGATACTATAGGTAAGACAATATATTGAGATTTTTTTCCCCCCAAATGTAACTGTAGTCCCAGTGTGATCCTAGTCTCAGACTCTGTTCCATCTGAACATCAGTTCCTAACACTGGAACAGAGGGATCTACATTTGGAATCACTAGAGAAGAAAGAAAAGAAAAAGAAAATGAACCAACACCAGGAATATTGGACTGGGAATTGGTGATAAGAAATCAATAACTGATCAATGACTGAGGAGATTGATACGGGATCAGGAAACAGTATTTTCATACACTTGTATTAATTTTATAAACATCTGCTCCGTCAGCGAATCTTTCAGACCTTTTTTCACCTGTGTGACACTGTTTTCCCCAGATTTTTTTTTTTTTATTCTTAATTTTTCTCCTGGAAAATGTGTTGGAAAGGAGACTGGAGGAGAGCAGAGAAAATCAATCACACTCTGCAGCATCTTTTCTTAAACTAACTTCACCAACTCCCAATTCCCTCCCCCTCTCCGTCTCCCTCTCCGTCTCCGTCTCACTCCTCTCATTTCACTTCACTCTGTTTTTCCCCTTTGCTCTTCACACAACATTTGCCCGCAGCACAGCTTTTCACATCCGCTGTCCTCAGCGCTCTCTTGACAGGGTCACTTAATCTACTTATTTGGCCCCAAACACTTTACCAATTACCCCTTTTCTCTCCCACTCTGCCAAATGTCACATTTAAACTGCATTTTCTTAAAAAAACAAAAAACAAAATGCATTTGCTTTGGAAGAGGAAAATACAAACCAGGATTTTTGTTCAAGTTATAGACGTGGTCTCCTCGGAGTGCCCCCTCCCCCTCCCCCCGCCCTTACTTACCCTCACAGCCCACAGGGTCACAGAGCAGCTGTGATGTAAAACAGCACCTTTTATACCAATAAAAAAACCCTATTCCCACAGATTTGGGAACCGTGGGTCTGGATTTGTTAAAATATGTTACCACTTCATGACCTTACATGCTCTGTCTCACATATTTATATATTGAGACCTAACACCCCCCCTCCTCCCCAGACCCTAGCAGTCATTGGAGGAGGACGGGGGGGACACTTCCATCTCTGGGCTGAAACCAAAAAAAAACAAACCCTGATATTTGAATGTCAACTCTTCTTTCTGACTCCTTTCACCCTCAGGAAGAACCGTTCGTGATGGTGGCAGAGAACATTCTGGGCCAACCCAAGAGGTACAAGGGCTTCTCCATCGATGTCCTGGACGCTCTGGCCAAGCTGCTGGGCTTCAAGTACGACATCTACCAGGTCGGAGACGGGAAGTACGGCACGGCTCTTCCCAACGGATCCTGGAACGGGATGATCGGAGAAGTGATCGGAAAGGTTGGTGTGTGTGTGTGTGTGTGTGTTTGTGTGTGTGATCAACAGACCAACACAACCTTTTGACTCTGTTTCCTCAGGCTTTCATTCTCATAGATTGTTTAATTTGGACACATTTCTAAGGTTAGAGGATTATGGTGCGGTCGTTATTAAATTCAGTCGTTTTCGTTTTTTTTTTGTGTTTTTTTTTTCAACTGCTGTGAATAAAACCTCTGTGTGAACCATAATTTAGGTTCTTTTATTGAGGGCAGTGAAAAATTATGAATAAAAAAACCCCTTTTATCCTTTAATAATACATCAGCAGTTGGCTGTGTGTGTGTGCGTGTGTGCGTGTGTGTGTGTGTGTGTATAATCACAGGCCATTTCACATCCTTTTAACAACAGTACAATGATCAGGAACAACAGACGGAACTGATTTAAACGTGGATTTTTACATTAAAACAACACCTGAATGAAACACACAACACAGCTGTGATTTGACCCCAGAGGTCACCGACAGCAGCAGTGGTCCAATGATGGAGTGATTAATAATTAATAATAATTTATTATTATAAATTATGAAGAGTCCAATCAGATCAGATCTGAATTCTTCTCCGCAGAATGAAATTTTCTCTGTTTCCATTTTTTTCCTCCACAGATTAAAAAACATTGATTAACTTTACTGACTGCTGATTGGTTTGATTAGTTTAACAGTTGAATTTAATTCTTCAATAATTTACTGTCTGTGACTGTGACCTGTGACCTTTGACTTATAGCCTGAAACTATAACCTTTTCTCAATAGAACAGAGCAGTGGTTTGATTCAAGCTGAGATCAAATATTACAACAGACTAAAGGTTAATTTCACTGTGACATAATGATTTTCTCTCACCCCTCCTCCTCACCCCTCCTCCTCACCCCTCCTCTTCACCCCTCCTCCCTCAGTGAAAAAAATACCTCTGGCTATAATTTAACTCCATCTCGGGGACAGAGTGTGAACATATTTCCACAGACGTTGTGTGTCGTTACTCAGCTGCGGGGCCTCAAACTGACGGACTTTTCTCTGTTTTTATTCCCGCCCACAGCGAGCTGACCTCGCCGTGTCGGCCATCACCATCACTCCTGAGCGCGAGAGCGTGGTCGACTTCAGCAAACGCTACCTGGACTACTCTGTGGGGATCCTGATGCGCAAGACGGAAGATAAGATCAACATCTTCTCGTTGCTGGCACCTTTTGACCTGGCGGTGTGGGCCTGCATCGCCGCCGCCATCCCCGTGGTGGGCATCATGATCTTCCTGCTCAGGCGCATCCAGACGGCGCGCTGCCAGAACAGTACAGGAGGACATCCGCCACCGTCTGTCTCCACTTCACTTCAGAGCGCCATCTGGATCGTCTACGGTGCATTTGTACAACAAGGTGCGTGATGGAGCCTCCGTCGGTCCGCAGACCGCGGTTTTACATCATTCATTCACACTCACAAATCCTGATGAAAACAAAACCGTCTCTGGAAACTCTTCCTGTTCCCACATCTCCAATCTGCAGGTTTTAGGAGATGGGATTAAAATGAGTGAGATTATTCAGATTACAGGGCAGACCTGGATGGTAACAGACTCCAGGAGGCGCTGCTTCAATGCTGTATCTATTTAAGGGCACGGTGCCCACCCCGGCGTTTTCTGAAGGTGCCCTTTTTGGAGGCAAACGGCATCTTTTTAGTTTGGTTTAAATCCAGGGGTGACAGTTTTGGATGAATTACAACATCAGCAGCAAATGTTAAAGCCTGAGCCGCATCTATCAACGTCTGGCTCGCTGCCTTTTTTAGAGCCGACACCCACTATATTTCAGGAGAAAATAAATGCCACATCTCTTCCCTATCGTTCCCTTTTTTTCCCCTCCTTAAATCTGGCTTCTGTTCCTACGCTGCCACTTTTCCTTTCACTCCACAGGAGGTTTTTTTTTCCTCCACCTCAGGATGATGTAACAGGCTTTGATATGGATCATTGTCAGAGAGCACTCACTTGGCAAACATGTCTTCTCTATGATTCTATAATGATGTGGCTCTTTGTGTTGTATGTTCACAGCAGATTTAAGTATCCACCCACACACACTCACTCACACACACACACTCTCACACACTGTTTTTGTTTTCCACCAGGGAGCTGTTTTTCAGATGGTTGTGTTTTCAGGGATTTCAGGGAAACACAGAACAAAACATCCAAACGAGGCAGAACTGCTGAACACATTTTTCACATTTTCCTAATTAATTCCTACAGAGATGAAAGCCAGTGAGCAGAGTGGATTGTTGCAGCAGGACAGGATCCGGTTACATTTCAAGATGCACATTTCACATTTGATGACCTGAAGAAACCAGTCAAAGCTGTGTGTAATAAAAATGACTGATGCCGCGGTCTGGCTGTCCTCAGGCTGCAGCTGCGGTGACGCTGACACCCGCAGACAGATCTGTTTTCATCACATCCTACAATCCCCCCTCCTCCCCCCACATCACTCACATGACATTTTTCACACTTTACTCTTGGAAATTGTGTCACTGAACATTTGTAGCATTCACATCACAGATTCTCAAAGGCAGAGACGGGAGTTCAGACGATGAGTGTCGTCGTCACAACTTCAGTTTCAGAGATTTTTTTATGTTGTAATGTTGATTGGACCAAAGTAAAAGTATTTTTACAGTAGTAGTATTTTTCTCTCATTTTCCTTTTTGGAATTCGACCAACATTAAAAATAAAACTTTCTCCTAAATCTCAACTTCCAAAGATTCTTATTGACTTTGTAAATATAACCAAAACTATATTTAAGATGCAGGAAATAATCCTGTGTGTGGAAGCAGAACTGAGGTTTTTTTTTCTTTCCTCTTATTTTTATTAGTCAACGTTTGATGGAAACAACAAACATCCCGTTTCAAGACTTCCATAAATAATAAAGTGATAAAGAAGCCATTTCTGGCCTTTTTGGCATCATTACGACTTCATCGCTCATGTTCATCACTCGTCTCTGTGATTTAATTTGAGATTATAAATAATTACATTAGCGTCTGTGTGGAAGGGGAAAATGTGATAATGTGATTTCCTTGCTGGAGGTCTGTACGGCGTCTTCCCCCGTGTCCACTCTGCAGGCAGTGACTCTGTCCTTGGTACCGTAGCTCTGAGGATCGTCATGGGCAGCTGGTGGCTCTTCACACTCATCGTGTGTTCGTCCTACACCGCAAACCTGGCCGCTTACCTCACCGTGTCACGGATGGACAACGCCGTCAGGTGAGACGCAATTAATTCAGCTGAACTTTGACCTTTGTCACTTTGTGGCAGATGGTCCACAGACGGCCAGGTCCAGTCAGCAGACGAAGTTTTATTTCAAAGCCTCTAAGAAGGAGACTTCGTCTTCTTTCACTGCTTCCTCCACAATAAGAGTTATTATGGGAGCATGCTGGGTAATTTCTGGGGGTAATTACCTCTCATTTTACCTATTGTGTCAAATTCTTTTGGTAAAATTTTCTTTTCTTTTAACAATTAGTTGATCCTAGTTATTCAAATTTTTTCTGCTTCTTTAGAATCACCATTTAATCACCTTTTCCTGGGCTACAGTTCTTATTATTTCCAATAGAAGTCAAAATAATGTATTACTTATTTATTTATTATTTATTGATTTATTACTGAAAGCCTCAAGGCCAACCTTAAGGTCATTTCTTGACTATGTCCTTAAGTAATTCAAATTCTGTTGGGATCTGATTAACTCAACTCAAAACATGGTAAGATGCTCTGCATGTTTTTCACACCAGCAGTAAAATTTTCAAGTGTTAATTGATGTCTTTTCAGGCAGTTACTTTGCAGCCGTGTGTACAGAATGATTTGTGTATTTTTTCAGTAGAGTGAAACGTGTGCAATATTGAACCGCAGGCACCTGTGCAGAGTCTGAGTGAACAGAACAGTTTCTGTGCTGCTTGACCTGAATCCTAACGACTCCCCCACCCTGAGTCCAAACGTTGTTTGTCTGTGAATCCAATTTGCTTTGCTGTCCCTCCCCTCACCCCCTCCCCCCCGCCACAGACCTGACAGAGGTGTTGATTATATTGGGTTTGTCTCCTGTTTGACAAATAGTTAGATGTTGACATGTGAAAGCACAGAGTGAATGTTCAACAGCGGAACCAGACATGGGTTTGTTTGAAGTTTTGTGTAGAAAAAACTCTTTGTTTTATTTACTTTTCAGGAAAATCTTTGGGTTTGGACTTTAACCTGTTAGTTTTACTTCATTAATCACAGGTAAAATAAAGTGTGAAAAGGTAAACAAATGCATTTTTAAGTCCTAGTTTAGTTATCTGGCACTCTGGTAGTACACACTGCAACCCTGAAGGAGGCAGTAATGCACCTGAGGTTTGTTTGTCAGCCACAAAAAGTGTTTGTGCACAAGATGGAAGTGTCTGGCCTTTGTGTTCTTTCCTTTTTAACCTCCTGGTGGCGACATGGAGCTTGGTCCCATAGAATATTGTGGAAACAACATTTTTTTAGTTTAGTTCAGTTTAGTTTAGTCACCTCAACGTCGACCTTGAATTAGTGCTGTGTCGCTTGATCACTTCCTACTTCCCCGTCTACCTGATTGGCCCCGGGCGGCACGGAAAATGTGTGCTTTAATCATGCGTCCACAAAAAATGGAATTCTTAAAAGTAATTTGCGTCAACTCAGTATTAGTGCGTTCACTCTGGCAGCCTGTGAATATTTAAAAACCTCCCTCTGTTTTGGAGAGATCGTTTGGTTTTAATTGTTTTGGGGGAAAAAATCCAAACTCTCCTTCAGCAGTAAAGAAATAAAAGCTGGGATTTTATGAACATGTTCATCAGAGACTCTTTATTGGAGGAAAATTGCCAGAAGTATTTAGATAAATAGCCAATGTTGTCTTTGGAATTTCAGAAACTGTTACAAGTTTCTGTTTTATGTCTTCATTTCTTCCCTGACAAGAAGAACATTGTCTTGTGAAATTACCCGGCATCAGGTTTCTGAAGCTGATGAATGGAACTTGTTATTGTGACTCACTTGGAAAATAATTGGCTACACATGTCATTTCTTTGTATTGTTTTTTTTTGTTTTCTCCACCAGTTTCCTTCATAATCCTCTGAAACGGTGATTGTTTCATCCTCGAACTGAAGCAGAAAAAAACTTTGACCTTTAAATCATACGGTGAATATTTTATCGTGTTTCTTTTAACCTAAGTTAGAGTAAGAATCTATGATCTCTGGCTGCTTTGCAAGCAGAGAGCAGAGAAGGTTGGGTTCGATTCCCAGAGGAACCACATACCCCTTATAGCGCCTCCTGTGGCAGCCTGTGTCGGTTGCAACAACCCACACTGTTAATGTCCTCTACTGTGGGACAAATATGGAACTTTGTTTCATTACAGTTGTCCACCTTAAGCTAAGCGTGAGAACCATCTAAAGCCTTTACCACTGAATCAACATGAGGGTCGCGGGAGGGGCTGGGGTCGACCCCAGAGGTCATAGGATAATAATGAAAAAATGTGTTCCAGGAGGTTCAGAATTAGAAACAGGAAGAGCCACAAATACATTTAACTATCCTGTATCTGTGTTGCCTAAATATCCTAAGTATATTTAAGAAAAATCCAATATTTAAAAACTTCCAACACAAATGTATTTTCATTATTTCCCCTTTCCCAAAAATGTTATTCATGACGTGTCGTGCTGCCACTCCTCCAGTATAAACTCAGTGTTCACTGCTGAGTTTCTCTCCCGTCTGCACGTCTTGAATTTTCCACCAGGTCTAGACTGAGTTCCTGCCGAGTCAGAAACGAGCTGTTTTTATTCTCCTTGAAGAAAAAGTCTACGTTCTTTGTTCTAAGCATCACCTCGTTTAAAAACCTCAGGAGAAGTTTTTCTCTTCTTTCTTAAAGTCTGACTTTGGCCTCTATGAGATCCAGACCTCTTAAAAACCATCGAAGCGTCACTGCTGTACCTCGAACCACAGATTGGACATAACTGCACCATGAGGACTAATTATTTTATTTTCCCTCTACAACAATGTTAGGCTCGGGCTAAATAATTGTTCTCCTTCTGAACAGTGTTCTTTTTATGTTTCATCCATTGTTATTCAGTGCTGACTCGTCATAATAATGCAGCGTTTTACTGCCTTTGATAGTCACAGTGTGACAGCGTTCCTGAGGGAACGTGAGCAACAGCCTGAACACCAACAGTATTTAGTCTTTATGGCCACAACAGAGAGAGAGAGAGAGAGAGGGGGAGAGAGAGTCACCCCTGTGGACCCTCGTCTCTGTGCTGTATTCATTTGGTCCATCGTTGTTCAGCCAGTATAACTAATAATCAGGGACTGGGTTAAATCTCTGTGTCGACTGTGAATCAAAGTGATTTTATTTTTTGTATTTTGTGAAGAAGAAACAAACACTTATTCGTGTGTGTGAGAACCAAACAGGAACATCAGGGTTTGACAGACGTTGATCGTCCACACCTGCCTTCATGTGTGACTAGTTTTTCTTGACATTTCCTCTGATTTTTAAATCCTACTGTACCATCTGTTTGTTGTTTTCACCTGTTTCTCCTGCTCTATGTAATGTATTTTATATATTATATTATATATTATTTATAAATCAAGCCAAACTGCACTGGTCGGTACAGAAGTTCTCAGTGTTTCAGATCCAGCGGAGACATTTTTACATTTTATTTTCTATCAAAAATATTTAAATAAACAGACAAAAGAAATGCATTAATTGAAGTGAACTAAAACATCAGTAAATCAGCAGATATAGATTATGTGTGTGAAAAGAAAGGTTTCAGTGGCGACGCTGACGCAGTGAGGAAAATCGCAGTATATTTTTAAACTTTTCATCTAATATGGATGGATATGGAAAAAAACAATCTGGTGCTAATCATATTTAGATTTCCTTATAGAAATACATTTTTCAATCCTGCTGTATGAATTACACAGCCATGCAGCACGTGGAACATATAATCAAGCCCGGGATCATTATCATCTCATTTAACTCGAGCACCGGCATCTGAAGCAGGCATTTAGCAAATTAGCTGCTAATTACCAAGTTGGTATTTATCTGTGTGTATGAAATGCAGCTGCTGGAAGAAACTTCTCCTGCGTCTGAACAACATACTGTTATATATTTAACCAGGAAAGATGTTTTTTTTTTTTTTCATCGGATGGTTTTAGAATATAAATGCTCTATTTAAAAGAGAAAAAAAACGTTAATGGAACTTAGCAGCCAATCAGGTTTTCATCACTCTGGCTGCAGCCATTATGTTGCTGCTAAAAGCTAATTCAATAGCCTCTTTTTTTTTAATGTTGCCCTAACATATAACTTATCATCTAAATGTTTTGTTCTAATGTGGATTTATTGAAAGATATTTCAATTCATTTCCTTCCTAGGACTTTTTGCTGCTGTATTTTTGCCTCAACGGTTTAGCATTTTTGGAGCCGACTGTAAATTGATGCTTAGAACTTAAATGCTTATAAACCTCTATTCATCTTTGTTGTTTTTTTTTTATTCCTTTATTTCAAGGAATGTTGATTAGATGATTGTAGCCAGTATTTTTCTTTTGTTATCCTCTTGAATTATATTGAAATGTTCATCATTTTCTGTGACAAAAAATCAAAACAATCCATACAGACTTGAACAAAAATATATTTATATTTTTCTGGGGTTTACTACAAAATCTGTTTTGAAAAATGTTTCTGGTTGTGGTTGTTAGGTCCTTCCAGGACCTGTCCAAGCAGGTGGACCTGGTCTATGGGACTGTGAGGGATTCAGCTGTGTACGAGTACTTCAAGGCTAAAGGCACCAACCCTCTGGAGCAGGACAACACCTTTGCAGAGCTTTGGAAAACTATCAACAAGAACAACGGCTTTGAGAACTCTGTCACCAGTCCAACAGAGGGAATCAGGAAGGTTAGTGTTTGTTCTAATGACTTTGACAAAAGACTTTTATTTCCTTCACTCAGTGCTGTCAAACTCAGTTTCACAGTGGGCCAAAATAAAAAATCGGGACAAAGACGCCGGCCAAACTCAATATTTATGGAAAAATTGACTGCAATTGTGGATATTTTTCCCTTCTCTCCTGATATGTATTGTTGATTTTTTTCATATGGAAACGTACATGAACATCCAATCAGAAACAACCAAACCTTAATATTATAAACACGTAAGAAACTAAATTTGAAATAAGACACATAAGTGGTGTTTGTTTGTTATTACGTCTCTCTCTTTCTCTAGATTTTCCAGTTCCGTTTTAATGTAAATCCTATATTTTTTTCACAGGCCAAAAAAAAGAACAACCAAAAATGTATGTGCTATAATATCGTGCATACATCACTAATACTACAAATACCACTGTAATAGCTGTAATACACATCTGATATGATCTTGTTGGCCAAATATAATTAAACCAAGGGCCAGATTTGGCCTGCGGGCCTGAGTTTGACACCTGTGCCTTAACTGATCCAATTTATTTATTTAAATTTTTTTACTCTACTCCGTAAAAATTAAATTAACTCTTGATGCAGAAACCTTATTATTCTGGGGGGTTTTTTTTCACCAAAGAGCAGATTGAAAAATAGTTCATGAATGAAGAAACTCCTGATGATGAAGCTTTCTTGACAGTGTATCTAGTCTATTCCCTGGGTTTACTCAACTCTGTGTTTATACATTAGTGAAGTGCAGTGAACCTGGGGGGGGGGCTGTGTAGTCCTAATGAGGTGAAAGGCTGTATTTGCCGAGGCTTTCGTTTTATTTTGGAGTGGAGCAGCCAGAGAAGTGTGTAAACAAACATGCACACAGAAAAAAAAAGAAAATCTGCTGGCAGAGGTCCACGTATTCCTTCCTGCACTAAAGGCTAAAGCCGGTGAATGTATCCCAGGATATCGTATTATCAGTTTCACACAAACACAAAAACAGAGAGCAAAAAAAGAGAGCAAACATTGGTTTTTCATCAAAGATAAAAAAGAAAAGTAATATGTTATTTTTGCTGATGGTTCCTTCCTCCACATGAGCAAAGAGTCTGAGCCATTTTCAGTGCTCTCAGACTGAGCTGCCATTATTCTGCTCACTGCTTTCCTCACACTGAGAACTTTGTGCTTCTCTGTCACCGACACTCAAGTGTGGATCCGTGTATGAAAGCAAACCAAAAATACTGATTTATCCGAATGTAACCGATAATATACATGTTTAAAAAATATATGCTACAATTCTTTATATATTTAAATATATATAACCGTTTGTACGTAAACCGTACTACACGTAAACCGCCGTAATCATCGGATTCTTAGGTTTCCGATTGTACCTGAACGCGCCTCGTGTGTCAGGTGCAACTTCGTCATGACGACGTCACAGACCGTCATCTTGGCGGTTTGTGCTTGTTATCCAGGTGCTGCGCTCCTCAAGCTAACGTGTAGCTAGCTAGCGGGTTGTTCGCTAGCGCGTTACTGGCTAGCGCGTTTTTCGCTAGCGTTATAGCTGGCTAGCATGTACCTGGCTAGCATGTACCTGGCTAGCGTGCAGCTCGCTAGCGTAAAATTGATAGGTTTTTGAATAGAGACCGCAGAAGCAGAACAACACACAAGAGAGCGGTTTGAATTCTTTATTTCTTGTTTTTGTCTGTCCACTGTTTTGTTAAAAAGTTTATTAATAAGACTGTTGTCGACTGCTCTATGTATTTATCGATACGTTATGGATCGACCAAAATTATGGTTGGTCGATATTTTCGTTGTATATACTGTATATATACTTTTGGTAAGCAGAACCTGGAATATACAGTGCTGAAAACGTAGTTGTTAATAGTTTTCGTATGATAAACAAATGTTATAGTTATAACTGTAGCTATGTGTTATAGTTATTCAATTGTGAGTTATTTGTCTGTGAGTTTACAAAGGCCAGAAGCTAATGCTGTTTAGAGGGCGTTAGCGTGGAAAAGTTTGGAAAAACTGTAGTGGCTAATAATATGAAAGAATACTGCTGAAAATCAAACTTAAATGTTTTATATGTATGATGTTTCCAGCAGTATTTGTTGTTGTCTCACATTTATATTGTTATTGGGAGAATTATTGTCTATTGTTGTCTACTCTGAGGTTTTTCTCCTACAGTAAATACATAACGACCTCGTGTACTTCTTCCTCTCTGCTCTTATACCTGTGTCACTGTTTCCCTTTCTAAATGTCCTAGGTGAAGCAGGGATCCTACGCCTTCCTGTGGGACATGGCGGTGGTGGAATACGCGGCGCTGACTGACGACGACTGCACTCTGACTGTGGCAGGAAACAGTTTGAGCACCAGAGGCTACGGCATGGCCCTGCAGCACGGCAGTCCCTACAGAGACCTCTTCTCTCAGAAGTAAGAACAGCAACTGTAGCAAAACAACAACCAAACAATATAGTCGTACACAGTACACGGGGGAAGCATTAGTCTGTGATTCAACAGTGATAACAATGGGTTTATATGATGGATTCATATACGGTAGAGATACAGGAATGAATACATTAATTTTAATTAACAAAATTAAATCTTGCGCATGAGTGATTAAATCATGTCTGATTTACACAGGACTGTATGCACACTTTTACTCTAAGGCATAGGAAACTCAACTCCACTGTCAGTGTTGTCATTTCTAAAGCATACACTTTGTATTTAGTCACTTCCGGAAATGTTGTACACCCCCTAATTTAAACATAAACATCAGTATTTACCTGCAGCTCTAGGGGGCGAATGTCAATATACATTATTGAAATCTGTCATACCGCAGTGTGTTTAATCATTTACATAATTTAAATTCAAGGCTTGAGCACGGCCATCTTTATCCTGGCGATGCTGCTCCTTGTGAGGAGTCTGTACAAAGCGCACATTTTAAATGGCGGTGGCTGGAAGAGATGCAGTAGAACAGAACAGTAAACCTTGGATTGGAATCTGACTAAAATGAAACTGTGAACCTTCTGCACGGCAGGCAGGGATCCTTCCACTGCACCACAACCAATCGAAAGAATGGTTCAGTAAAAATAAAAACAACCCTGGATATCTGCAAGCAGGAACAGTTCAGAGTCCCTCAACAGTGCAGGCAGGGTGGTGAATAATTTATATTTTCAGTGTTTACTCTTAACCCTGTGTGTTTTGGTTCTATATGGGGAAATTCAAATAGGAACAAGCTTTCTGGATTTAGAAGAAAAACAAATGTGACATTAAAGCATTATTCAGGGAGCTGGGGACTGCCATGCCGGCTGACAGATCTTATACATCACTTTTAGGAAATAAAAATGGGGGATTTTTGAGACCTTGAAGGTTGAGATATTTCACAAATTCAAATTTGTAGAAGAGATTTAATGTCGGCGGCTTGGCAGGCGAGCGTGCACGTGTCTGACTGTGTCTTAACGCTCCTGAATAAAAGTGTGCAAATGCACATACAGTATGTGCCAGTCACTGCTGGGGAGGCTGACTAATGACGGTGTAGAAAGGTAAACGCTCCAATGGGACGGATCCACTGTCTGGCTTCTGTTTGTACTCAGCCCTCATTACTCTCCTGCAGGACACGCGTGCATTTCTCTGAGCCTTCTACTCACTAACTAATGGTCTGACTGCAGCAGTCCATCACAGCTGCCTCCATATTTTTACACTTTGGTATGAAATAAATGCTGACGTTTCTTTGCATTGTTTAGATAGAACTATGCTTCCAATCCCCCTCCCACCACCCCCCCCATAGAGACTCTGACCCCTCTGGAGTCAAAGATGTTTTACAGATTTTAAATGAACCGTTACAGTACCATTTTAATCAGTGCAGGATTTTTTTTTTTTATCTCGCAGCATTTAAAGACCTTTGGTTTTGGGCTCCTAACCTGGAATGACCCGTGAGCTGCTGTGACTGTTACTATCAGTGATGGTTGATGTTTTGTTCAGTATTCAGACGAGTTGCCGCTGCACCTTGAGCAACATCTGTGCATTAAAAAAAAACAAAAAAAAAAACAACTCAAGTCTTTCTTCTCCGCAGGATCTTGGAGCTTCAGGAAAAAGGTGACCTTGACATCCTGAAGCAGAAATGGTGGCCAAAGAAAGGACGGTGCGACGTGCAGAGCTACACAGACGCACAGCCGGAGGGTCGTTCGCTGCGGCTCCAGAGCTTCGCCGGCGTCTTCTGCATCCTGGCGGCCGGTCTGCTGCTGGCCCTCCTGGTGGCGGCTCTGGAGACCTGGTGGAACAGCAACCAGTGCCGAAGAGAGCAGCCCAAAGAGGTGACCGCTGACAACCCATCTGGCCAGAGCCCAGGCCTGAGCCTGCTAAACCAGAACCGGGCCACGGTGGCCACCCTGGGTCCCCCTGCCCCTCCGAGACCTCGGTCAAGACCCAGACCCCCGGGGCCCCCGGTCCTGCCCAGAGATGCCACTGCCACACTCTACTTTATGGATCCAGAAGGCACTGACGCCAGCCCCGATTTAGTAGAGCTTCAGTACACGCAGTTATAATAGGTGTGCCCCCCCATAATAGTCCAGACATCATGTGATCGATCTGCTCATTCTTTCTCATGTCAGGAGAGAGGCTGGGGTGCTAGTTCTAGAGAATTCCCTCAGGATTCTCTCTCAAACACATTCACTGTGACCCTCTCATTGATGCATTAAATGGCTGCCTGTGTTCTAGGCTGAGAACCAATCACAGTCACTGGTGCTCATGGGAGACGGGAGGAAAACAGTCGATGTAGCGTTCTCTTTAGCGTCTCCATTCGAGTCCTGGTCTGTTCTCTGACTTCTGCTGACAAATTGTTAGACCTTCAGTGTGAAGGCATCCAGACATGTGAGGCTTGACATGGATCCTTAAACTAAAGTGTGAGCAGAAGCAGGAATTGAAGAGTTTGAATCGTGACCTGAACGTTTAATGATAACAATTATGGCAGTTAATGAATCAGGTGATTAAATTGTCAATAGTTCCATGATGGTCCGTCATGACGTCAGTGAGAAAAAAAAAATCAGATTTTTGTATTTTATCCTTTCTCATTGTACTTTAAGAAGGATATTTTTTACCAATTTTTGATGAATATATTTGATTTAGTCCAAAGCACATGTAATGTGATGTCAACTGACCAAAACAATATACAATATGTATCGCGATAGACCGGCAACGATACGATATATTGCGATAATATATTGAGGTGTTTTTTCCCCCCAGTGTAACTTTAGTCCCAGTGTGATCCTAGTCTGAGACTCTGTTCCATCTGAACTTCAGTTACTGACACTGGAACAGAGGGATCTACATTTGGAATCGTACGGTATCGTGAAATGAAACACGCGATATATCAGTATTTTTCTTACACTATAAAACCACGACAAATATTCTCCAGATTAACCTCAAAGGTTTTGTAGATAAGAAAAATGAAATAGCATGTTTTCTTCTGATTTTCTGTAATTCTGCCATCTAAAAAAAGAAAAATCACTACTGCGTCGCTCGACCGCTCTGTGATTCGCTGATCAACCCGACCAGCCGTCGTATAAGTGAGTCAACTGTTGTCATATCAATGTCCAGACTCACCAGTGGATCATTGGGTTTTCTATCGTTGTCTGTGATCTCCAGCAGGTGACTCAGGATTTCGGAATGGACAGTGTTTCTGGTCCAATGACCTATAGTGACATTACGAGCACGTCACCTGCAGGGAGGCGGGACATGTGGACAGGCAGAGAGAGGGAGACGGGGAAGAGGCTGAGGTTCTTGACGCAGGTCAGAAAAAGGCCTGATGGTTTTTGTTTTGTTTTGTTTTGTTAATGGGCTGTCATTGGATGTGTTGGGGGTGGGGCTGAGGGAGGGAGGGGGAGGGGGGCAGGGCAGGTGATAGAGAGTATCTGCTTCATCTGTGATGTCACCCCATTGTCTCTCCTGTTCGTCCTTTCTCCTGTCACACTGACTGAGTGGAGTGAAAGGATGAGGTGACGTGAGCGTTTGAACATGTCTCCTCACTTTTGTCCTCCTCTTCCTCTTCCTCCTCCTCTTCCTCCTTATCTGTGTCGCCTCACTGATGACTGTTTCCAGGCTGAAATAATTTCAACAGATTCCATAAGAGGTCACTGACCCCAGTTAACTTGAACTAATGACTTATGTTGTCCTTGTTTGCCTCCACTGTGCCACAGTCTGTGATTATTGACGAGGGCGTCTGTTCTGTCATTCTGAATGTCAGTTGCTCTCAGCAGAACGGTGGTCAGTGTTTTTGTTAATGGAGACAGTGAAGCTCTTTATTCCAGTTGATTTAAACACAGTTGATGTAACAAGACTGTGATGATGTCAGCTGTTTGACTGACACAGAATAAAAAAAAATACAGTTTTATTAGAGCACACTGGACTCTGTGACTGAAGCAGACTTCAGATCAGTTTAGACGGAGGTGAATGTCACTGTGTAGAAACTAGGACTGAAATCAAGCCTGAACTGATGATGATGATGATGATGATGAAGAAACAACCATTTAACCTGTTTTTCTTTTCTCTTTCTCTTCATTCTCCTTCTACTTCCTGTTCATTTTCTTTTATTCTCCATCCTTTTATTCACATTTCCTCCGTTCACATTTGTTTGTTTTGTTTTTTTTTTCTTCTGTCCATTCCATGTGCTTTATGTGCAGGACAAGGAGGTGAACCTGGAACAGGTCCACCAGCGTCTGAACAGCCTCCTGGACGAGGACCTGGCCCACAAACAACTGCCTGGACAATCTATTGAAATCTCTGCCCTGGACATTAGCAGCATGCAGCCCAGCCAGTCCCTGGAGGCGCTGTCCGCTCGGGACTACTCTTGTGGACCACGGCCTATCTCTGTGACCACCTTCCTTCAGGAAGGCCATGGGACGGGAAGGACACTGGGTGCAGCAGCCGGCAGGACCTTGCCTTTGCCCCTCAGCAGCGCCACCATGCCCTCGATCCGCTGCAAACACAGGGCGCCCAACGGGGGCCTCTTCCGGCAGAGCCCAGTCAAGACGCCCATGCCGATGGCCTACCAACCAGTGCCAGGAGGACCAATCCCAGAAGGCAGCGAGCCTGGACACGGGACTTCAATCTGAGCAGGAGATTCATCCACAGACACGTAAGCTCACTGACAATACTGCAGAAGTACACTGAGGGAGGAGAATGTGAAAGTATAGACAGAAAACAGTAAAAAAAGATTTTTATTACCTGTGGTGAGTAGTCAGTGGGACAAAACACTCGGACTTAAATGTACATATTTGTAAGTACAGAGAGAGATAGAAGCATCATTACAAAGTGTATTTTGAATATTCACAACAGTTGAGTTTAAAAAATATAAAAGTACTACAAAAAATTTAAAAAAACAAAAAACGACTGTTTGAACGGCTTTGTAAATTTTGTTCTAAATGAATAAAGGTGACAATTCTTTGTGGTTGTTTTCTAAGTGCCAAGTTCAAAGATGTTTTCTTTCAGATTAACATAAACTGAATGTACTGTCGAAATTCATGAGAAACGACGTTTCACAGACCTTGGAAGAAATGATTTGTTTCATAAGAAAAATAATAATAAAAGGAATAATAAAAAAAGAACATCACCGTGTGTGAAAACACACATCAGTCTCATCATGTGAGTGAATGTTTGATTGATTCAATTTAATTCAATTTACACTTAAATAAAATATAGACAGACAGGTAGGGAATCTTTTTTCGTCTTTTGTCACGTTAGCGGTTTTAGCTTAATTTATTAAGCTAAAACTGCTAATGTGGCTAACTATATTAATATCTTCAGTAGATCTGGCAGCTGTATCAGGGCTGACCAGATGGTTCCATTTTCCTACTGATATTTGGTCGATGTTCAACCGTGGATAATTAGTCACCTTTCTTCACTGGTAACGTGAACTTAATGTGATGATGGTTTTTCTTCCACTGCAATTAATACCCCGACGTGAAAATTCGAAAACTATTAAAGAAGGGAAATTTGCCAGACATTAATAAAAATGCATTTCCCCTAAAATTTGTAGCTTTTAGTGATAAAAAGTTAAGATTTTGACAAAAACTTCAAATGAAGAAAAAGTTCTAAAAATGTTCTTTAAATGCCCTAATTTGATGAGAAACATCAAATCTTTAGTCAAATTTTGACCAAAAATGACAAAAAGTTCATCTTTTGACAAAAAATTTAAATGAAAAAAAAATTCAAAAAATGCTATAGTAAGGC